GAAAACTGTAAGATCTCTTAAACCCGGGTGTCAGGCAGTTCAAACTTCAGATTGCAACAACTAAAATGCCAATTTTCCTCTGTCAGTTTTACGGCTCCAAAATAAAGGCTATGGCATTTATTATGGAGACATAGGGACAGTCTGCCCGCAGTCACTGCAAGCACACCCATGTCACCAGTAACTGGCCGTGCATGTTGCAACATGCAAACTGACTCTGCAGTCTGTCTCCAATTTCCTCAGTTTAAATTCAAGCGTGACTTATGATTCATTTCAGGATAACAATGGGCCGAATGGAGTCTTTGCTGTAATCGAGCTGTGATTTCATGGCAACATCATAGCTTTAGGCATTGGTTGAGTGGATCAAGTGATGAGTTTAAAACTCAAGGCGGGTGGTGTTCCATTTAAATGGTTTGGACGTCGCTTTTCATCATTTCGGACTTTAATCAACTGCCCAAAGAAATCATTATCTAGCTTGAAATATTGAAATTTAAGTGACAAGAAAGAAGAGTGCCTCGATCTTGTTTAACTTGTAGATTTTGTAATCGCATGAAATGATTGTGGTTGGCCACCCAAATGTTTCCCGATGCAGGGCTGCCTGACCCTCAGTGAGGTTTCTTTAATAAACTGTCCCCGGGGCTTCCAGCTGCACCATGACGTCATATGACATGGGCGGTAATAGCCTTCAACTATTGTGACGCAATAATGATGCTGGCTCCTGGAACATGAATATGAATTAGTCGTGGGTCACGTGGTGCTGAATCATTCAATGAATTGTAATGACATCTCCAGGTATTTACGTTTCTCCATTACAATCTCAGACACTTCCATCTCTGACTTCAAGTTAAGCAATTCTTGGGATTCTATATTTCTATTAATGATATTCATGATGCTACTTCTTGGTGAAGTTGGAGAAACATTGTGTTTTGGTGGCTGAATTAACTGAACAATATCCGGAAAGAGGGTCGGGAATCTCGTCAGTTGTTTCTTTCCTCTCAGATCCTTTTCCTGTCGTGATATTTGAAGGAGGGTCGAGAATAAGTCCTATACATACAGAATCAAATTCCCCAGTGCCCTACAAATTCAGAGCAGGACGAATGGAGAATGGAGAGGACGAGGAGAGAGAAGTTGAGACAATGAAGTAGAGAAAGGCGGAATGAAGGAGACAGAGGGACAGAGAGAAAGGCAGAGAGAGAAAAAGAGGAGCGGAGAGAGAGAGGTGGGGGTGATGGTTTGAGAGAGAAGGAGCACTATCCTACGACCTCCTTTGTCAACAATAGTTTAAAATCATTGTGGTGCGAACACCTGCCTTAATCCTGTACAGTACACTCACAGTGTGTGAGAGTTGGTGGTGGAAAGTCAGCACGTTTGACTTTAGATCCCAGGGCTCCGTGCTCGAATCGCGTTAAGTTCACGCTGCTCATTTGCAGGCCAGCTTCCCTGGAATATATGTTAGGGTGGAGGCTTTTGGTGATGGAGTGTATTGATCTCAAATTTGTTTCTGATTGTTTTCCAAGTTTTCCATGGGAACAATGTTTCACGGCTGTGGTGTGCCATTGTTTGGGTAAATTCTCACTTCCCCTCGTGTGAAAAGTAAAACACAAACTGTTCAACATGCAATTTACATACACAGCTGCCTCCCTCTGGGCAGCTACTTCGTTCACTTGGTGATAGCACGGTGTTAACAATATTATACTGATCTTTTATGACTTAATATAGAAACACCACATTTTATTTTTCAATTCATCAGGATTTTCCAGCTCCTCCTGTTGTAGCAGAGTGACAGTGAATTCAGAAAGAAATGTTTCCAATCAACAGCAATTCCTTTACTCTCACTGAACACAGGAACAGTGATCTCTATCTAACAGCAAGAGCGGAAACCACAGTCCCACAACCACTCTTCACATTAACGGTAAGCCTCAATTTTATAAACTGTGTCAAGAGCAGGGAGTCAGAATGAAGATGTTCTTGAAAATCTTTGCTGCGTTGAATCCCATGAGCAACGTGGAATGTACTTCGCTCTGAGTGAGTCCCAGCTTGCCCGGGGCTGCTCGTGATTTTGCCAAGAGGGCTCGTTGGTCTAGGGGCATGATTCTCGCTTGGGGGATTGTACAACAAAAATATGCGAGAGATCCCGGACGAGCCCTGATTACTTCTCTTTGTTTTGCCAATTCGCCCGATCAACTTTCCAGAAAAAAGCTGTGTTCAATGAGGTCAGACTTGCTGAAGTAGGGGGATGGGGCAGAGGTGCCATTGCAGCAAACACGGCAAAGGGAAACACTTATTGAAAGCGAAAACACGCGTCTGAGGAAGTTTGCGCACGCAATCTGACATTGAATAAATCTTCCATGAAAAAGTGGTGATGTTGAAACACATTCTTTGCAGTGTGTTGGATGCTCAGGCCACCCTGCAGTAACTCTCCACGAAGTTTCAGACAGCAGCATCCTCCCGTTGACATGGGAAGTTATGAATAACAAGAAAATTGCGTTTATTCAAGCTTTTTGCTTCTAAAATTTATCATTCTAACATTAGGCTGCAAAACTGACCTGAGTTAGTTGCCAAGTTAAACAGACGTGACTCCTGGTCCCCTTGAGGCACTGAACCAAGGTGAGATGTGCAAAGGACAATGCACAAATCAGAGTCGTTGTGTGATTGATTGGGAGTGATCTGTATACCAGGGTAAACAGGGAAAACCAGTCTTGAGCACTCACATTGAGCCTGGCTCCGCTGGGCCTATAGTCAGCTCTCACTAACCACCATCGTCCTTCAGTTTTCCTGATGGACCCGCTGTTCTTGTTGTAAACCGATTGCACATCACACAATTGCAGCTTACATTGCTGATGTGGAATTGTAACTTGTAGGGAAGGATTCTGAATAGTCCATGACATAATTCTGTTTCTAAAGATCAGTCAATATTTCATATTTATTACTAAAAATGTTAGCCATTAGCAGGCCATGGCAGTGAAGGTACTGAAGCCTAATTACTAGAACACCAGTGAAAATCTCTGGTTAAAAACCAAAAGAACTGTGGATGCTGTAAATTGGGATCAAAAACAGAAGTTGCTGGAAAAGCTTAGCAGGCCTGGTGGCATCTGTGAAGAAAAAAATCAGAGTTAATGTTTCGGTCGGTGACCCTTCCTTTCCGTTCTGCGGAAAGATCTCTGTTTATATCAACTTGGGCAATCTGATTCAGCCTTGCATTCTCCCATCCTTCTTCTTTGTTTTGATTTTGTTATGTCTTGATTTGTAATTTTCAGGCTATCCCATTATCCATTCCTTTGTAATTTCTAATGTATGAGAACCTTCCTGGGGAGACAAGGTACTGATCTTGTAAACCAGGGGTTATGAGTTCCTGTCTCACTGGAGCCCTTGGCAATTTTTGTACAAGAGCTGCTTCCAAGATCCAAAAGACCACTTTAAATATCATCTGAAATTATGAAATATCATTTCCTCTGCAGGCCAGAGATGTGTTTTAAATGCCACACTCCTGTTTGTCTTTCCAGGAACTTGAGGAAGACCATTCGGAAGGACAGGAACCAGCTGACATGATCAATGTTTGGCTGGAAGAGTGAGGTGAGGCCATATAAACTGCGGAGGAACAGTGACCAAGTGCTTCCTTTATTTGCTGTAGTTTTGACTCTAGTTTTGAAGTCTGAAATGGGACAATATAAGCCAAGTGGGTGAAATTTTACTTTCTGGGGATTGTTCTTTCCAGCGGCCTCTGTCACTCTTGGCGGAATGTGCCCCTGTTTGTTTCCTTCTGTGGGTGAGGTTAAGTTCCTTGAGGGGGCATGAAAATAGTTTTCCCATCTCAAACTTGATTCACATTTGTTGCGTTCATTAAGATTAAAACGTTTCGGTGAAAATATCATTGAGATGAATACTTGAAATGTCAGACCACACGAGGCTACAGGCCAAGTCCTGGAAACTGGGATAATGCTCCTCTTTCCATGCTGTAAAACTCAATGTTTTGATCATTTTTGAGGAGAAACTGATGCCCAGTTAAAAAAAAAAGCCAGAAGCTGTGTCATTAAGACATTATAGTACTTCTGTTCTCATCCCTGGTGGTCTACTGTTTCGGATTCAGCAAATCAGGATTTATTGTCCTGATAGTGACAACAGCAAAAGCAGAGCAGCTCTGACAGGAATCCTTTCTATGTCTCGCATCAGTGAATGTCCCCAAGAAGAATCAATGACCCAGCCTCTTAAAGAAGTTGTCTTGACTGTCTCTGCTCAGTCGGTCAGCTGATTCAGAGAATCTGACGAGAATATCCTTTTACCCAAATTCATCAATCAATCAAATTTACCTGTTAACCCGTCCAGGATTTTCTCATTTCAGTTCAATGTTTTAACAATGAAGCAGCCTGATGTTATAGTAACAAACTGAGGGTAGAGCTGGTTTGTCCAACGTTATCCCACAGGGGGCTACAGGGATACATTTCAATGTTTCTCTCAACTCAGGGGCCAGTGAGAAAAGGCACCATTCCACTGACTGTATCTATCACTTCAATTTGTAAATAATTAAAATGTTCATTAAGAAGTGCCAAGCAGCAGAATGAGTTGTATTGTTGTTTGTCTTTTGTGTTGTAGAAGCTGAGAAGCAGAGAGACAGACTTGGCCCCGAGTTGTCATCCTCAGAGAAGAGGAGAGGAATCGGGCTGAGTTCAGGAGTTGGGTAGAAGTCAGTGTCCTTGCTTCCACCTCTTGGTCACCCACTCCAACCTGGCCTCGGAACAATTCATCTCTCTCCCTTGCTCCCTCTCCCTCCATATCACATTCACACTGTCCCCCTTCCTGTTTTGCCTCCTGCTCATATCTCAGGGGCAGTATCGATCGGACAAAACTGCTCTGTGTCTCCAAAGACATTCTTTGAAAAACAAAACAACGGTGCAACCTGAGATGCCTTCTGCAAAAAATATCTACCGCTTATGTAGTGGTGTGAGAAGGCCACCAGATGGTGATATTGTAGCATTTTAAACACGAAAGGAGAGAGAGAGACAGAGTTGACTCATCAGTTTTTAATTCATTCATTCATTCAAACTTCTCTCCTGTGAGTCTCATTGCAGCCAGAAACATACACACGGACACATATGGAGACACACATCAACATGACCAATGTATCACTGTAAACACGATTTTTTCCCACAGGTGAGCACAGTATTTTCACACAGGCTAACACAAGGTGTGAGTGGGACTAGGTAACCATTAAAGACGGGGAGTTTCCTTTTAATTAGTTTCTGAGAATGAACATCAATCCATTTCACAGGTGAACATCAGGGGATTACATGGGATTACAATTTTGTCACACCCTTACAGCATTGTGCCCTGAAATCCCGAAATCTTGTGCTGCCGAAAACATTGTTGCCCCTGCCAGATATTGCACTCCGCCTACAAAAATATTTTGATGCCCCACCCACCAAATATTGCCCCCTCAACTATTGCATTTCCCAATTTCTGTTCTCCAAAAGTTTGCTCTCCATCCCAATTTTGCAACCTCCCCACTTTATGTCATCTCAAATATTGCCCCCCACAAATTTTTGCACCCATTTAAATATTTGCCCCCAACTTTTACCCCATATTTTATCCCAACAAAAATTTTCAGCCTCACAGTTTCTGATAGCTCCCCGGGCAGCGTCACCCTCTTTCTTCATTCCCTGTGATCCCTCCACTATGTACAGATACCCGACTGTATCTCTCCCCATGAGCAACACCCAAATCCCCCCCTGACCCTTACTGGATCCCTGACCCCACCCCAGGGGCTCGACGCCCCAGGGAGTATGGCCAGAGACACTCAGGCCTGTTCACTGACTGCCTCACTGCACAGCAAGATCCCAGTCCCCAGGCAGGCCCTCTTCCCCCCCTCACCGAGAAAGATGTTTTATCTAACAACCCCTTCCACCTTTCAGTTTAGACAAAGGACGATGGTGCAAAATGCAGGTGGGTCAAGGACCAGGAAGATCCTCTGGCATTACCCATAAAGAGACATTGAAGGACAGAGAGGGAGATGGAGAGACAGAATCCAAGAGGAAAATGGAGGGATAGATGGATGGCGAAGGGGAGAACGGACGTAGGAAGATACAGAAAGAGAGAAAGAGAAATAGTCAGGAAGAGAGGCAGAAATCCCATTGAGAACACGAGGGAGATAGAGAGAGAGGGGGCGGAGAGAGAGGAGGGGAGAGGGAGATAGGAGAAAGATAGAAATTCTGTGGAGAGGACGAGAAAGGACAGATACAGAGAGTGGGAAAGACAGAAGGGACAGAGAAAAAAAAAAAAAAATTGGGAGGGAAGAGCAGACAGAGAGATACCATGCAGAACGAGTGATGGAGACAGGATGATGCAGACAGAATGACCCTCAGGCAGGAACAGCAAGATCACACAGGCCAATGTGAGAGAGAGAGAGAGAAGTGTTGTGGAGAGGTGAGTGGGAAAACCTGGAAAGCAGAAAGACTGAACAATGAAACAGTTCTTGAAAAACCTGGGGAGGGGGCGAGACAGTGGGAGGGAGGAATATGAGGGGTGGGGGAAGAGTGAACAGCGGTAGATGCGAAGGATGTGGGCATTTATAGATTTATAGAAAACTGTGGGAAGGACAGGTAGGTGGGAATATGGAGGCAAAGAGAGAGGGAGACAGTGAAATCTGTGGCATCAGACTTAGTACCATCCCCCTTTTTGCCCCTTTGTCTCCCCCACACCCCCAGCCCAGAGCTCATACCCTTGCAGTACAAACCCCAGAGACAGCCTGAAACCCACAATTCTTTTCCCCGTGCGTGTGCAAGTGTGTAAATGACTGACAAGGAGACAGGCTGGTTTATTATAATGCTCTCGTCTCTCTCTTTCTCTCTGGTTCCAGCTCTTGTCTGAAGATTCCTCACGGCAGAACCATTTGATTCTCTCAGTCTGTGCATTATCCCAAATTTCAGCTCCCGAATCTAATCTCCTCAGGGGCGAGGTTGGAAAGACAGAGAGAAATAAAAAACAATATCCAGCACCAAAAGCACAGCAAGATCACACCACTCTCTGCCATCCACAATCTGACACTTTCCCGAGGACAGCAAGATCCCACCGCTCGCTGCCTGAACTTCCATTATCTGACACTTTCCCCCACTTCCCCTTCCCCCTCCAGAACAGCCCAACATATTAAACATGGAACAGGAAGAGGCTCAAACCGCCTCAGTATTTCTGTTTGAAGGGAGTAGGAAGACAGATATTTACTCCAGAGGCTGGGGTTCACCTCCACCATGCCCGCTATTCCCACCCCCCACCCACCGACCATCTCCACTTCCAGAGATTGTGCCTACCTCTTTACGTGTCCAAGCTTCAGTCTCTCAGTAATCTCCTCAGGGGGAGAGAAGGAAATTGATCACATCAAAGCCAAAGTTTTGAAACAAAAATGAAGAGGAACATATGAGATTCCATCACAGACTGATTTTCAAAATTTTCCCAATTTTTCAGCATTTTCCCCTGATCTTAAACCTAGAGAATAAGAACAGATTTGATCTGGGATCAAGGGGCAAATGCTTTCTGACTGCTTCCAGTGTTTACTTTCTGAGAGGCCGGGCAATGACTCAATGGTGGGGAGTCACTCCCCAGAGCCTGTGTCTCTTCCTTCGTCCCTCCAGCTGGTTTTCTGACACCATGATGGTAAAAAAAAAAGACCCAAAAAAAGACCAATGACCATCTCACTCCCATTCATCAGGCACAGACCCCATGCCCACTACTTCCGGGACTGGTGTTGTTTCTACATGAAATATTGATGATGAACTGATACACTTACCTTTCTCTCTCTTCTCTCCCTCTCTCTGTCCCAATCTACATCTCTATCTCTGCTCAGCTTTCTCCTTCTCTCAGAAATTGATCAAACTTTCTCTCTCTCTCTCTCCCTATTCACTTCTCCATCTCTGTTCAGCTTTCTGCTGCTCTCGAGAATCAATCTCTTGCTCGCTGTCTGCTGTCTGTTCTCTGCCTCTCTCTCTCTCTCTCTCTCCCCATTTCCTCTATGTTTTGATTGAAACGTCCTCTCCTGCCTTACGTTTTCAACATGTTGCAATCTCCCCACCGTGTCTCGTAGACATTTGCAACATCAATATCACATTTTGGAGGGTGAGGGGGTGACGAGAGGTGGGAGGGATCTGGGCTGAGGGAAAAGGACAGACGATGCACTCCACCCACTATCAAACCATCAGCAATCTCAGCTCAGGGCCCTGTAGACAGGCACACAGCGCATTTGAGGGTGACCCGCAGACCGAGGGGGTGCACAGCAAGATTACACAGGCAGCCGTATCCAGTACCTCCAAGGGATTCCCTCAAAACCTTGTCGGAGCCAACCACACCCTGCCCCCACAAAAGAGGGGCTGACATTGAAATGAAGGATGTTCTGCACAGCAGGATCCCACCAGCTGTCCCCAGCCTCCCCACACTGAAGGTTTCCATAACCTTCACCACCCAAGATCAGAAGCGACCCCACACCCACCTCATCTGAATTTGGAAATAGTGGACCCCTGCTACTGTAAAGGAAAAGGCTGCAGGCTGTCCCCTCACAGCAAGATCACATAGGCTGCGACGTGAAGACAGGACTCCCCCCACTGAGTGCACCAGCAAATACTAAACTCCCCCATTTTAACTTAGAACTGAGGTTGGACTGAACACTGGAGTTAACCCCTCACGCCCTTTCCCCCAGAACTTGTACCCATCCCCCCCACCCCCTGTCACTCTTTCAGCTGTCACCCTTTTCCCTCCAACACCACAAATCTTGGCCCCTACACACTCCACTGCGCAGGATCTCACAAGCAGCAAAACATGAAAACGGCCACTTGTTGATAAGAGAGGATTAATCTCATCCCAAATATTGGCCGTGAGGGAGTGGGGGTGTCAGACCCTGCAGTTTCTGCTCCTTTGAAATATTGAGCCCACTCCTTATCCCCAACCCAGAGCCTGCACTGGCCTCCCCATTCCCTCAACACCCCACACCCAGAGACAGGAATGAAGTCCAAGTCAATGGAAACAATTCACTCCGTTTACCCACAAACCTCACACAGACCAATAGGGGCCAGTAGGAGGAAATGGAATATAGAGGGGGGTGGGATCCACTCCCTTCCCATATCCTGGCACACCCATCCCACCCACCCATCTCCCCATTAAAATGACGACAAATCCCAGCGGAGTTTCTCCCAGATATTCCAAGATGAAATACAGGGAAGTAACCAGCTGGATGGAGAGACAAGGGAATCCAGCCTTCCCCTCCCCTTCCCCATTGCCCTCAGATCACCAGTCAACTACATTCAAGTGGCGCCTGCACCTTTCGTTTATCCCTCACCACCCCATGGCCCTGTCTGAAGTACACATACGACTCTCCTCAATGATTCACAAAGCTTTTAATTGTATAAGTCCTGTCCTTGTTTGTTTTACCAAAATGCAATACCTTGTATTTATTCAAATTTAAACTCCATCTGCCACTCCTTAGCCCATTGATCCAATTGAACAAGATCTCTTTGTAATCTTAAATAACTTCACTGTCCACCATACCAGCAATCTGGGTATCATCCACAAACTTACTAATCATGCCTTCTATAGTCCTATCTAAATCATTTACACAAATGACAAACAAAAGTGGACCCAGCAGCAGACCCTGTCGAACAGGTGTCCAGTCTGAAAAACAACCTCCACCACCAGTCTCTGTCTCCTGCCACTAAGCCAATTCTGTATCCAATTAGCAAGCTCACCCTGAATCCCATGTGATCTAACTTTAATAATTCGTTTGCCACAAGGAACCTTGTCGAAGGCTTCACTAAACTCCAAGTGAACAATGTGTACCACTGTGCCCTAATCAACCTTCTTTACACTTCCTCAAAAAACTCAATGAAGTGTGTGGAGCACGATTTCTCTTGCACAAAACCATGCTGACTATCCCTAATCAGTCCGTGCCTCTCCAAATGCATAGGCTCACGTCTATGGTTCCCAGGCTTCTCCACACATCGCTTTTCAAACAGATGCAAACACCAGCCATTCTCCAGTTATTAGACACCTCACCAGTATTTAGAGATGATACAAATCTTTCTGCAAGAAGCTCACAATTTTCTCCCTAACTTTCCACAATGTCCTAGGATACACTAGCTCAGGACCCAGAGAATTATCCACGTTTATATCTTTTAAGACCACTGGAACTTCCTCTTTTATAATGTGAACTGTTTCCAAAATATCATTATTTATTTCCCTGAGTTCTCTTGCCTCCATTTCTTTCTCCACAGTAAAAACGGAGGCAAAATATTCATTTAATATCTTTCCCATCTCCTGCGGTTCAACACAAAGATGAACTCTTTCACCTTTATGGAGCCCAACTCTCTCTCTCGTTGCTCTCTTGCTCTAATGTAGTTGTGGCATCCCTTTGGGACATCCTTAATCTTATTTGCCAAGACTATCTCATATCCTCTCTTTGCCTTCCTGATCTCCCGCTTCGGAATGCCTCCACACTCTTTATACTGTTCAAAAGATTCAATTTGATTGTATGTAATATGTGATTGTTTGTATCTAATATGTGATGTTTTTTTATTTTTATGTAACAAGTCCTTCATCCCTGCAATCAATCTTGTAATCCTCCTCTGGACCCCTCTCACACCAGCACATCTTTCATGAATACAGGGTCCAAAACTACTCAATTTTCCAACTGCGGTTTGACAAGCACCTTTTATAGCCTCAGCAGTACATTTCTGCTCTCGCAGTCTTCAAACGAATGCCTACATTGCCTTTGCCTTATAACCACCAATTGAACCTGCATGTTAGCCTTACGATAGTCCTGAACTAGAACTCCCAAGTCTCTTTTGACTTAAGCTTTCTGAAGGTTTACCCCGTTCAGAAAAAAGTCTATGCCTTTACTCTTCCCAAACACTTTCCTTCACTGTATACCACCTGCCACTTCTTTGTGCACTCTCCTAGCCTGTCCAAGTCATTCTGAAGCCTTCCCACATCCTCCAGACAACCTGTCCCTCCACCTATCATGGTGTCATCTGCAAGCTGAGCAACAAGGCCCTGAATTCCTTTGTCCAGATCATTAATGCATTACGTAAATAGTTGTGGTACCAACACTGACTCCTGCTCAACTCCACAAGTCATCTGGCTGTCATCCTGAAAAAGACCCCTTTATCCCAACTCTTTGCCTTCTGCCAGTCAGCCAATCCTCAATCCATGCCAGTACTTTGTCCCTAACACCACGGACTCTTACCTTATTTAGCAGCTTCCTGTATGGCACCTAGTCAATGCCTTCTGAAAATCCAACAGACTACATCCACTGGCTCCCCTTCGTCCAAGTTGTTCAGTACCTCCTCAAAGAATTCCATCAGATTTGTCAGGCATGAAGCCCCCTTGGTGAAGCCATGCTGACTCTTCCAAGTACTCCATGATCACATCCTTACAGTGACCTGCCACACTGTGTTTAATACAAAGCTAATTTATTTGACTTTTATCCAGAATATTAAAACTTTGCTTTCAGTCCTGAATGTGATGAACTGCAAAGTCCAATTACCGTTGAGATCTGTGAACTCTATGTTGTCTCAGCAGGATTGATAAGTGAGTGAATTCCTTCCCCCACACAGAGCAGGTGAACGGTCTGTCCCCCAGGGTGACTCTCTGCTGTCTCAGCAGGGCCGATGAGTGACCCAACTGTTTTTTCCTCACATGCAGCAGGTAAATGCTTTCTACCCAGTGTGAACTCACTGGTTTACTGAGAGTTGAGATGATCGCCTGAACCCAGTCCCACAATGAAAGCATCCCAAAAGGTGCCTCATCATGTGAGAATGTTGATGGGACATCAATTCGACAGAACTTCGATAGTACTTCCCACAGACTAGACATTTGAAAGATCTCTCCTCAATGTGTACACGATGATAAAACCATCCCCAAGAACTTGCACAGGGATTCCTATAGTCTAAGCATTTTTAAGGTCTCTCCTCAGTGTGAACATGTTGATGACAATTCAGTTCCCAGGAGCTTCTGTCGCAATTCCCGCAGTCTGGGCATTTAAAAGATCTCTCTGCAGTGTGAACTTGCTGGTGTCTCAGCAAGTTGGACGACCGAGTGAATCCCCTCCCACACTCGGAGCAGCTGAATGGTCTCTTCCCAGTATGAACCTGCTGGTGCTGTGAGGTCAAATGATCACCTGTACCCAGTCCCAGAGTGAGAGCACCTGAATGGTCTCTTCTCAGAGTGAACATGTTGGTGGGATATCAGGTCCAGGGGGTTTTGTAGCATTTCCTGCAGGCTGAGCATTTAAAAGGTCTCTCATTAATGTGAGCAAGTTGATGCGACATCAGGTCCCTGGGACTTCTAAAGCACATCCCTCAGTTTGGGCATTTAAACGATCTCTCCTCCGTATGAGCACTTTGATGGGCCATCAGGTCCCCAGATGTTTTATAGTATTTTCCAGTCTCAGCATTTAAAGGGTCTCTCTTTAGTGTGAACGTGTTGATGGGACACCAAGTTCCCAGATGTTTTATAACATTTTCCACAGTCTTGGCATTTAAAAGGTCTCTCATTAATGCAAGCTAGTTGACGGGACATCAGGTTCCGGGATGTTCTGAAGCATTTTCCACAGTCTAGGCTTTGAAATGGTCTCTTGTCAGTGTGAATGAGCTGGCGTTCCAGCAGGCTAGGTGACTGAGTGAATCCCTCCCTACACACTGAGCAGGTAAATGGCCTGTTACTGGGGTGACTGCGTCGATGAGTTTCCAGCCCAGATGCGGAAATGAATTCCTCCCCACAATCCCCACATTTCCACAGTTTCACCCCAGTGTGACTGCATTTGTGGTTTGTGAGGTCTGATGATTCGCTGAAGCCTTGTCCACACACACAACACGTATACAGTTTCTCTCCAGTGTGAATGGAGCTTTTTCCGTCCAGGTTTAAAATCTGATCATGTTCCATTTGTGATAAAATGGGTGACTCCATCAGATCCTGGTGTGATGGTGCGTTTGAAAATCTTCCCCTTCTAATATCCTGTGAAATGGACATCAAACAAAAAACAAGAGAGACAGAGACAATCTCTCACAAGACGTTGGCTTCTGTGTGGAGATAGGGAATGAAGGAGAGGGATTTTGGACACCTACAACTTGACCAGAACTCTCAGAATCTTTTAAACACTCAGCCTCCACCACTGAGAAGGGGCAGGGTAACAGGTGGATGTGAACACCAACACCTCCAAGTTCCCTCCAGGTCACACACCATCCAAACATTGCTGACATCCAGTCCTGGTGGAGCAGAAACTTCCTCCCATTAACTAACTGGCACAACCGAGGCCTTTATCTTCATTCCCCAACACAAACTCTACTGCCTCACAACTGATTCTAAACCCTCTGTGGCAACTGCTGGAGTCTGAACTAAACAAGTCATAACCATGGTGAAATGTTTCATCCAGAGATGAGTTTTCAACCACATATCCCTACCATCATCGAGACTGCCTACTTCCACCACAGTAACATTACCCGACTCCTCCGAGTCTCTGCTCATTTGCTGCTGAAACTCTCGTCCATTCCTTTGTTACCTCTGGACTTAACTATCCTTACACATTCCTCACCATCCTCTCACATTCCCGTCTCTGCACTTGTCTTACTTCTCTGCCTCTATTTTTGGGTGCCCTTGAGCTCTGTTTAGTGGTTTTTCCTTCCTTCCATTGATTGTATCTAAATGAGATTTTTACCATTGCTCATTCTCACAACCATGTGCTGCTGTCTTAACAGCTTTATCTTCCCACATCAGCTCTCACAATGCTGTAAGGGAAGGAGTTATAGGTTACTCATCAGGTGGTGTAATCCTGAGGCCATCCAAAACTCTGCTGCCCGCATGAGTGTTCACAACAAGGTTTGTTCACCAACTGGCCCATGCTCACGCAGCTAAATTTTAAACTTTTCATCCTTTTGTTCAAATCTCTTGATCGTCTCCTCTCTATCTCGCTCTGTAATGTCCTCCAGCCTCCAGCCCTCTCAAGGGCAATTAGGGCTGGTCAGTAAATGCTAAACCAGCCAGTAATGGCCACCCCCACCCCAAGAATGACATTTTTTTAAAAAAATGTCCTTCCAGATATCTGCATTATCTCCAATTCCAACCTCCTGAAAATTCTTGATTTTAACTGTTTCACATTTGGTGCCCTCAAGCTTTAGCTGCCAAGGCCACAAACTGTGAAATTTCCTTACTAAACCTCTCCTTTTCTCTGCCTCAGTTTTGCACTTTAAAATACTCCTTCAAAACAACAAATCTGACCATAAAACATTTTGTCACCTCCCTAACATCTTATTATGTGATTCTGGTCAAACGTTGCATTATAATACTCCCGAGGAACAGCTTGGAAGTTTCCATTCTGTGAAAGACACTACATTGATATAAATTAATTGTCATTGATTTGGACACATATCACAGTTCCTTCATCACCACTTGGTGAATAACTCCTCACCGAACAGCATTGTGGGAGCTACTAAGGAAATATAATTGCCAGCAGCAAATGCTCAGGCAATGTTCTGCTGTATAAACCTTATTTAGAGAGTGAATGGAAGTAACAATAAAATACCTAGGACAGTCACACCCATTATTGAAGACAGAGGAAGTTAGACAATGACAGAGAGTTGATCAAGGAGAGCAGAGATGAACCAGAACAATGGATGGTCTCTCATTCAGCAGTGTTATAAAGCAACTCTTAACATCAGTCACATAATATGATATTATGGGGGTGACAAAATTCTCCCAACCATGTGCTGCTGCCTCAACAGCTCTATCTTCCCACATGAGCTCTCACATGAGCTCTCACAATGCTGTAAGGGAAGGAGCTCCAGCTCCAGAGTCAGAAATCTGAGAACAGCACGAGAAGCTGAATTGTGTAGATTACTGGTTAAAAATACTGAAATAATTTCATTGTGTTCCAACTTTAAAATCAAATGCTAGAGTCTACCCCTCAAAAGATATCAAAAGCACTGGGGTCAGAGGAAACTATCACAATTCAGGATACCCAGGAATCAGAGTGATGTCACTGAGTAATTGTCCGTGTGTCATAACATCACTCATTTGAACAGACAGCATTTGGGTCTGCACAAACAGGTGATCTCCATGAAGGATGTGAGCGCCTGACACGTGATTCGAAAGGAAATTCATCAGAATGGTTAAAGAACTGAGGGATACTGGTTTTAAGGTCAGGTTGGAGAAACTCAAGTTGTTCCGCACAGTGCAAAGGAGATTGATATGACATTTGATAGTGGGGGTGATAACACAGTGTGGACCTGCAGGAAAATTTTCTGATGAATGGTCCCGTCCTAAAACATCAACTTTCCTCCTCCTCTAATGTTGCCTTGCCTGCTGTGTTCCTCCAGCTCCACACTGTGTTATCTCAGATTCCAGCATTTGAGTTCTCGCTATCTCTGATTTGATAAAGGTGTCTAGGTTTATGATCGGTTTAAACCAGGTAGATAAAGAGCAGCTATTCCTCTTCACTGATAGTAAAACTGTTTGGTACACAGATTTAAGAGATTGGGCAATAGTTACTGGGAGATGCAAGAAGGAATTTTATGCTACTTTTATTTTACTCAATACTCACCTTTAAAGGCCGATAATATCCAGTGCTGAATGAATAAAAAGGCATGCTTAGATCATTTGGTTTGAGTTACCGATCTGCAAATCCTCTTCTGAGGTGCTGTAAAAAAATTTACAAAAGCCATCTCAGTCAGTCTGGGACACAGTTTCAGAAGAAGCAAATATTTCTTTGATTTGGAGGTTGCTGTGTGTAAATGTTCCCCTCCTAACACCTTGTAAAAGCAGTTTATAAAAACTCCATTCCTGTCAGTCCAGGAAAGGTATTCACAACATTCGCTCCGCTGGCCCAGGATAACCGCATATGCGCCCTGCTGCCCTTTAAACTCCGACAAATATGGCGGCCTGCCGTTGAGAGAGAGACTCGATTTTGACATTTTACGAAACAGGGATAGATAGTTTCTTTATACGGGGTCTGTCACATTCACAAAGTGTTTAGAAAGCCTCTCCGTCTAACCGCCCGGTCTATCGCCTCCTCCGTTCCGCCTCATTGTTACCTTTTGTGGAGCCGAGGAAAAGGACAGCGGCTGCTCAGCGTCGCTCCCACTGCGCATGCTCTAGACCGTGGCCACGCGGGAACATACTGAGCCTGCGCAGTGATAAGCAATGCAGTGCATAGCGCTCGGAATTCTGGGTTAAGTGCCCACCACTGTAAAGACTGAATTTTATTTGTCGTAATGTGTACAAGCAATCTTTCTCTTTACTTCCTACCAGGACAACTAACATATATTATACATTTTATAAAGTATAAAACGTGCCTTTTGCATCCCAGGGAGAAAATATCACAAAGTCTGACACTGAGTCGCCATACACATTCTGGGTCACCGGGCTGCTTTCTTATTAGAGATACAAAACTGGTGGTGGTTTAACCTGAGGGACACCACATCTCATGTCAGCAGAGAGGTTGAAAGTCGAGAGTCATCAGTTGTAACCTCAGGCGGTGTGGGATTTTATTCTACACTGTTGGCATCATGAGGAAAACTGGCAAACGGCTCTGAGAAAGAGTTTGGCTTTCATAGCTGTCTTCAAAGAGGAAAATGTAGATTTCATATTGTAGCAAACAACAATGTTTCCTGTCGTTTGTTGAAGAACGTGTTTTTGTTCCACTGATGCCCTCAAACATTGGCTACCTATTTGGATGAGCACTTGAAACGTCAGAGCAAATGAGGTGAAGTGCTAAGTGCTGGGTTTAGAAGTGAGATATTTGATGACTGGCCTAGATATAATGGGCTGAAGGGTCTTTCTCCGTGGTGTTAAAATCTCACTGACTAACGTTTTGCAACCGAAACGAAAGGTCAAAAGCAGTTTCAAGACAAAAACTTGCAAGAATTGTGTGGACTTTCCTTTTTGGGATTCAGCATTGCAACTGCTGTGTTCTCGGTTTGATTCCGAAATAGGAATGAGGATTTTATTGTTCCTGTCGAAACTCTTAAAATGAACGTGAATTCCTGACATTAAAAGACATAAAAGGGACATCTCTGTCAGAATCAGTGAAAGTTTTACATCAGGGGTGAAACCAAACAGGAGGAAGTGCTGAAATCCATTGACTTCACGTGCTCAGACACAGTACTACAAAAACAGTACTTGCTCCTTATTAAAGCATATAGGTTTCTTTCAGATTTAATATGTTGGACACAAAAAAATGGTTTTCCTTCTGGGCAATCTTGCACCAGAGTGCCTTATATCAGAATGGGGTCGCACATTTAAGACAGATGAGGAAAATTTATTCTCTCAGATGGTGATGAATTGGTGAAATTCCTTACAGCAGATTGTTGTCAGGTCTGAGTCATTAAGTGTAATCAATGGTGAGATTGACAGATTTTTAATATCAGTAAAGGTATCAAGGGTTATGGGGAAAGGCAAGAAAGTGCAGTTCATAATTATCATACCAGACATAAGATCAGTAAATGGCGGAGCAGACTGAATGGGCTGGATGGTCCCTTTCTGCTCCTAAAGTTTATGATCTTAATACGAGACTGTAAAGCTGACCTGAGCGAAATTTGCCAAGTGAACATGCATGGATCCCCTCTGGGCTCTGAACCGAGGTGAGATGTGCAAAGGGCAACACACAAAGGAGAGTCATTGTGGGTGATTGATCTGGAGTGATTATATACCAGGGTAAACAGTGAAAACCAGTCTTCAGAACCACATTGGGCCTGGCTCCATTAGGCCTACAGTCAGCTCTCACAAACCACCATGGCCCTTCACTTTTCCTGACGTCCCCTCTCTTCTTGTTTTACTCTGTTTGCACATCAGGCAATTGCAGCTGACATTGCTGATGTGGACCTGTAACATGCAGTGAAGCGATTCTGACTGGTCCATGACATACTTCTGCTTCGAAAGATCAGTCAGTATTTTATATCTATTACTGTAAATGTTAACCATTAAAAGGCCATGGCAGTGAAGACACTCAATCCTCATCACTAGACTACCAGGGTAGATCTCTGTTCATATCACCCTAGCCACTGTTTGATTTGGCATGACAATCTCCCATTCTTCTGCACACGATTGCCTTGGCTTTGCGTTGGATTTGTCACATTGTCTTCGTGTATGATGCACAGGCTATCCAGTAATCTATTACATTGCAGTTTCTAATGCATGACTTTGCAGTTTAGTGGTTCACCTTGTGGTCTTGAGTTGCATTCTTCCTGGGGAGTGAGAGAATTTTCACCACCTGCTGCAACCAACATCCGAAGGAGCTCTTTAAAGTCGTTCAAAATTATTTCTCATTAAATAGCGTTAACACCACCATGTCATTTCCTCACCCAGCCAGTAATACATTTGAAACACTAATTTCCTGTTTGTCCTTCCAGGCACTTGAGGAAGATCTTTCGGGAGGATGGAAAGCAGCTGACGTGAGCAATGTTCCAGTTAGGCAGAACAAAATGCAGAGTAACGGGGAAACAATGGGGGAGAAACATGGACAGGGGAGGGGCCAAATTCTTCCTTTCATTGTTGTAACCATACACTGGTTTTGAGGTCTAAATTGGGATGATATAAGCCAGATGGGTGAAATCCTTGCTTTCTGGGGGTTGGTCTCTCCTGAGGCCGCTGTCACTCTTGGGGCAATGTGTCTGTGTGTTTCCCTCTGTGGGTGAAAATGAGGTTCAGTTCCCTGAGGGGGCATGAACACAATTTTACCATCTCAAACCTCAGTCCCATTCTTTGTGTCGCTTGAGATTAAAACGTTACAGGGAAAAAAAAATTTTTGAGATGAACGCTTGAAATGGCAGAGCACAGAAGGCTACAGGCTAAGTGCTGGAAACTGGGATGATGGGCGTCTTTTCCTGCTGTACAAACTCAGTAAGTTGATTATTTTGGAGGAGAAACTTAACTCCAGTGAAAAGAAAAGCCAAAACCTGTGTCAGTAAGAAAATAAGCATGCTTTTCCACTGTGGTGTTGACAGGGACATGAGCAGCAATAGTTTGGTGGACACAAGGTGAACAACCAGCAAAGATAATCACCGTCACTGCTTCAGTTCAATGGTTCCCGCTTAGTGAAGCGGTGAACTTTACTGGCAAAGAAAACACATTTGTCATCAGGAGGCTGCTTCAGTGTCTCCTCTTTTTCTGCTCGAGTCATCATGAAGTTCCTTTCTGCTGTTCGACAAGCACATCTGCTTCTTCTCTTCTTCTATTCTCATCCCTTCATTCCTAGTTTGGCAGGAATAATGAGGTGAGGTGGGATAAACTGCAGATTTAGGAGGGAATGTTGTGGTAATGGCACAGACAGGACGAGCTGATCACCCTCATTCTCTGCTGTCACCATTCATTCATCTTACACCAACAGGAAAGACATCACTATAATCCTATAATTGTGGTGGACATTTTTTTCTGATGGATTCGGAATTTTACTTCAAATTCTAAAGATTCACAATCTTTTGAGAGAACAAATGTCTCGTTATCTCCGTCCTAAGTGACAGACACATTATCCAGGGAATGTGAGCGCAGTTCTAAACACTCCAGCCAGGAGGAAAAAGTCTCCCAGCAGCTCCACTCTCAAATTATCTTCAAATTTCTGACTTTAAACAGAGCAGGAATGGGAAATGAGGGATACTGACAGAAGGAGAGTCAGAGAACGTGAAAGAGGGTGAGGTGGATACACAGAGACAAATAGAGACACAAATTGAGGTAGATAGTGAAAGAACCAATTTTCCATTCAACGTGGCTGCTAATTGACACAAAGGAAAAGAAAAAGGAACTATTTAAGCAGAGCCTTTCACCACCGAAGGGAACAGAAGAAGCATTAGAACCGATGAAATCCCTTTAAAGTTGTAAAGTTGACGGTGGTAAGCTAATGAGAGAGAGCAATTTTGTTTAATAAGCTGATTTGACAGATAAAGCCGATAATTTACCCCGGCATTACACTACAGAAATGCATAACTAACCTGGTTCTGACGAACGCTCACAGGACCTGATACGTTAACTCTGTTTCTCTACACAGATGCTGCCAGACCTGATGAGCTTCCATATCAATTCTTTGTTTGTGTTATATTTCCACTGTTCTTTGTTTGTGTTATATTTCCACTGTTCTTTGTTTTATTTTAATCTGAGTAACATGTGGGAATAAATAGTTCACCTTCCATCTCCTGAAGTATCAGTTAGAAGTGCTGTCACCACGATAAAATAACACAGCAGAGTGTGTATTCCCTGACTAGGAATCAAAGCTTGGCCGGGAGGGGAGAGAGCCAAATCCTAGCCACTAGACCACCAGTGAAAGGGGCAGAAGTTGTGGTACATTTTCGCAATGACACTGCTTTTGCATTTTCATTTGTGACCATTTTCACTGCAGATCAATTTCTCCATCCTCGAGTATTTACAGTGTGGAAGACAACCATTCAGCCCATTGTGTCAGCGCAGATTATCAAACCTCCATCTATTCTAGTCCCTGTTTTTAGCATTTGGCCCATAGCCTTGCATGCTGATGTTTTGAGGGCAAATGGCAATGAGCTTATCCCTGTAATCTCAAATGACCACAAATGGGACTTAGGTTTGAGATGGTAAAACTGTGTTAATACCTCCTTGAGGAACTCATTCTGATTTCCACCCACAGAGGGAGATACACAGACACATTTCCGAGAATGACAGAGGCCTCAGGATTATACCCGCTCCATGTGCCTCACGTCCGCTCTCTGTCCCCACACACAAGTTTATCTGACAAAAGGCAGCTTTAGGTGGAACGCAAGCGACTTCTCCAGACAACGAGAATCGTTACCGTGAGCTGGGATATGAAATGGACAGTTGACTAAAATAGTCCCGCAAGCTGCTCACGTTCAACTTTTAATTTTGACAATTCATTGACCCAATCACTGCAGTTCCTGGGAATCTGACAGGACAGCGCCAGCAGACATCCCTCACTAAAGACAACTGACATAATGTGTTACAACATAGAATGGCCAAACCCCTCTCATAATTAAACTAAAATACAAGCCCCGATCTGTTATCACAGGAGCAGAGGTTTCCGTCTAATAATTACTCCCTAAACACACAGAGAAGCTTGCCTTTCCCCTCAAACTATTAAAAGAGTATTTAATGGAAAGAACATCCTTAATCTCCACTTTACAAGTG